ATAGTTTAACTATGGTGTTGCCATACTAGATTCTTGGGATAGGTGTACTGCCAAGACTTCCTAGACAGCATTTCCCAGAAATATCCAGATCTTTGTGAGTATCTCCCAGAAATATCCAGATCTTTCAGAATCAGGAACAAAGTACACTTAAACTTTAAAAATGTTTTATAGCCCAAACCAACACATATTTGTATTCACCCATGTATCCAAATCAACACTCATTGATACTGGTTAGATCAGAGTTGGTCCCATGATCTTGTAATATGAAATTATCCAATTGGTCTTGAGCTATATGATGTTGTACCATGAAATAAGGAAACAACATTGAACTAGGTATCAGGTGACTCCAGCTTACAGGCTTTTCATGAGATCTATTAATATTAGGATATGCTGTAAAAGGAATTTTTCACTATAAAAGATAAAATCCTTTACACTCATAAAAAATATTAAAAGGCTTGTTCAGTGGTTCTCAGGACCCCTTTACACTCATCATAATTATTGAAGACCCTAAAGAACATTAGTTTAAGTGGGTTATATCTGTCATTATCAACTGTATTTGAAATTAAAACAGAATAATTTTTAAAATGTTTATTAACTTCTTTTTAAAATAACAATAATAAGCCCACTACCAACACTAACCTAAATAACATATTTTTGAAACATAATTATTTTCTAAAACAAAAGAAATTAGTGAGAAGGGTAGGACTGTCTGACAGGTCTGAAAAATTAATAGAACATGGTTGGATTCTCATATCTGCTTCTGTATTCAATCTGTTGCAATATGTTGTTTTGGTTGACACACATGAAGAAAATCCAGCCCTACACAGATAAGTATTTGGAAAATGGAAGAATAATTTGTATATTTTATAGCCTTTTCAGATAGTTGTGTATATTCTTCTTTGACTTTATACTAAACTCAACAATGGTAATCTAAGTGTTAGCTGCAATGTGGAATCTACAATCATATTAATAAACTTTTTGTCTTTTGTAACTTGTAAGAGAACAAGATTGAAAAAGGCAAAGAACATCTCAGTATAATTTTGAAAATAGTTTTGACCCTGCAGACTCCCTGAAAGGTTCTCAGTATCCGCTAGGGTCCCCGGATCACAATTTGAGAATCACTGCTGACATGGTTTGGTTCTGTGTCCCCACCCAATCTCATTTTGAATTGTAATCCCCACATGTTGGAGGAGGGGCCTGGTAGGAGACGATTGTATTACAGGGGCAGGTTTCCCCCTTGCTTTTCTTATGGTAGTGAGTGAGTTCTCACAAGAGCTTCTATCTCATCTGATAGATGTTTATGCAGAAAGGGACTGGGAAAGGCAGTGAAGGTAGAAATGAAGATGGAGAAATGATTGCCAGTAACCCTTGATGATCAACCTTGGTTCAATGGAGGACCAGAAGTAGTAGATGAATAACTTCAGAGAGGCAGCTCTCAGGTAACCTTCTTTGATGTAGAGACAATAATATTTCACAACTACTTATTTGAGAAAAGGTGGAACTCTCTATCAAACTAGGAATATTTTGCAGGAAGTGAGAATGGCCATGAGAAAAGAGGCTGTGATCCTTTCTACAGTGATGAGGAAGAGAGAGTGCCTCTTTCTGCTAGTGTTGTATTCTGTGCTAATGAGGGCCTGGAAAAAGCTACAAATCCCACTTACCACTCTTTGAATTCTCCAGAAGTTCTCCAGCTTAGAGAACCCAATTTTAGGAGAGTTGAAAGAAGGAGTGATGAGAACACACAGGAGAAAGGGTTAAGAATTTAAAAGACAGGCCGGACATGTTGGCTCACCCCTATAATACCAGCACTTTAGGAGGCTGAGGTGGGTGGATCACTTTAGCCCAGGAATTTGAAAGCAGCCTGGGCAACATGGTGAAACCCTGGCTCTACAAAAATTACAAAAATTAACCAGATGTGGTGGTGTGCACCAGTAGTCTCACCTAATTGAGAGGCTGAGGTGAGAGGATCACTTGAGCCCAGGAGGTTGAGGCTGCAGTGAGTTGAGATCGCACCACTGCACTCCAGCCTGGGCAACAGAATGATACCCTGTCAAAAAAAAAAAAAAAAAAAAGAATTAAAAAGATTATTTGAGTATGGGCTTCACACATGTTTCATTCATTTATGTGACTGGAGATTTCACAAGTGCCTGCTCTAACGTAGCTATGAGTCTGGTTGCAGGAGCTAGAGTGGTGCAGGTGAAAGGAGAGATGGACAACAAAGTAAACAGCCAAGCAAAGAAATATGTAGTGACAACATGAGAAAAGGGTGGTGAAGAACAGGTGCAAGAGAATGACAGTGAAGGGAGACTAAGAACTTTAGAAAAGGGTGGTCAGGCATATAACGCATGATAATGAGGACCTTATTGCCTCAGTAGAGACCTAGCAACTCTTCTCTTCTGCTTCCCTCTCCCACTTCTAAGGACTCTGACAATTACACCTGGTCCAGCCAGACAATCCAGGATAATCTCTTGATTTTAAGGTCGGTTGATAGCAACCTTAATTCCATTAGCAACTGTTTTTCTTCTTTGTCATGTAATCCAATATATTCACTGGTTATGGGTATTAGAACTCGGATATTTTTGAACGGCCACTATTCTGCCTACCACAAGAACTGAAAATAAAAGTGAGAAAAGCTCTTTGTCCCTTCTGGAGTTCTTCTCTGCTCACACTTGGAGAGTCTTTTATTTTCTATAACTAAATTTCTCACAAGAGCTAATATGTAGTATCTAAACTGTATAATAATTGGTAGGTTTATGTGACCTTGGACAAGAGACAAGACACTTACCTTGAGTTTCCTTATCTATAATACGACAGGATTGAGGATAATGGTCTCTCAAAACTCCCTCAGTGTTCCTAATCAGACCCTGGAAGAAACCATGTCATTGTAGATTATATTCCAAAGTGTAGTGTCTCATCGCCACTGGGCATGTCTACTGAACTCCCGCAAACCACGACATCCTTGTTGATAGTTTCCTGGTTAAGTCACTGTTATATTTAGTGTATGCTACCAACATTGATGAAATCTTTTCACCTGTCAACACATGTACTTTATGGATGTATAAAACAAAACAAGTCTGACTAAAAAAATATAGTGACTCCCAACTTCTGCTCTGCTGATGTCATTGTACATTGCATTGTATCTCGTCCATGTAGAATGGTCTGTTGCTTGTCACAGAGTTTGTTGTTGTTGTTATACGTTTTGGAAACACCCATACCTTGTAACATTGAAATACCTTGTGTTTATAAAGCACTTTACAGCTTACAAGATGTTTTCATATCTGTAACTGCATATGATTCTCTGTAACAATGTTCCAAGATTAGCATACACTTCTTTAAAATGGGTATATTCTATGTAGACATTTTATATGCATTCTTGATCAGTGGTAACAGAGGTCCCAAGTAATTTGTTGGAAAACTGACTTCAAACAGTGGAATGGAACACAGACTTATTCACTCACATGCTGCATATGTGGCAACAAAGTGATCAGACATCTTTTATATTTTAAATTGGACATCATCTTAATGAGACATATTATACTGCTTTTATCTTTACTTTTGAAAGGCAATGCAGTCATGGAATGCTCTCAGGCACTTTTCTTAATCACACTTTATTCTTTAGGCATTTTCCTGCCTTTTTATACTCTTGCTATATGTTATCCACAATACATCTTTCTAAACATTTATTTGAATATAGATAAAATTATACATATACAAAATCCCAAGGTACAATATTGCAGTCACACATAAAGACATTGGAGTTGTAACTGCCTATATTAGCTTTTATATGTGGAATGGTTCTCTAAATTATTTGAGAGATGAATAATTTTTCAAAAATGATTCGAACAGCTCATTTGTCCTTCTGCCTCTCTCTTTAATTCTTAAGTCCAGATGCAAAGCAAAGAGAGACTTTTAGATGATTGTAAAGTCATTTAATTTCCAGACATTGTCTAGTGTTTAAACACTGACATCAAAGCAAAGAGTCAATTATCAGAGTTCATTTGGTCTGAAGCCCCATTGCCTGAATTGCCATAGTTTTCCTTATGCTGAAAAGGAAATGTGTGTCACATCTTGAAGCTGTGGTATATAAAACCACTTTATCTAGAGCAGTTTAACTTGAAACATGTGTTTGGGCTCACTAACCACAAGGAGGCATTGAAGCATCTCTTCAAAATGTGAAAAGCAATTTTATGAAGAAAAAAAGAGTTACCCCTACAGTTGTTGAATTTCATATAAGCAATTATACCTGCTTGTGAGTACGCATGCTTTTTAAGTTTATGTTTTGATTCACTTTTTTTTAATGACCTGAAATATCAGCAGAAAGTGTTTCCACTGTTGTTTCTTTTGTGAGAGATTTTTGGACAATAGTAATCCATATGTGTTTTCCCTTCTGCTCTGTTTCCAGTGGAAATAAAGGCAAACTGCAGGACTTTTATTAGTACTGACAAAGTAACTGCAGTAGCTCTTCTTGCCCTTTGAAGGTTAAAAGTTCTTTTGACTGTGAGCAGAAGTTGATTTCTTTAGTATATGTATTATTTAAATATGTATTCCTGACAGCAAGGGATTTATCTGAAATCTGTGTGTCACTTAAGAATGATTCTGGAACACATTTTCAAAATACCATATAGGAAGCTCACATTAAGAAGCCAAAACAATATTTTTTTAACCTGAGCATAATTTTCTTACGCATCCTTGTAAACATTCACGTTGCATGTCAGAAATTTTCTCCATGTTTTGTCATCTTGATTCTTAGCAGCCTTGTTGGTATTGGAAAATGTGAACCCCTCTGTTACAGACTATGTTGCTTAGCACATCTTCCAGAATAATGTTTAATTCACCCGAGAAACAAGCACGTCATTCTTCGGGATTGGGTTGTTTCTGTAAGATGCTTCAGAGAAAATGTTTTCCTAGAAATATGGACTGTGACATTTTGAAATTCTCTTGTGCCATGTTGCTATATTGACTTGCTCTTTCTGGGTTTTGACACCTTGTTTGCCTTTTAGGGTATTCCCAGCCTGTGAGAGAACATATTGCCGATTTCAACACACAGCAGAACACGCAGCTGGGGAGGCTGTGTGACATCTTAGGTACAGTCAACAGTTTACACAAGTGACTCTTTGGAACGTTTATCAGTGGGTGTTGATAAAATGTTTTGTTTGTTTGTTTGTTTGTTGATTATTTTTTTCCTCTACAAGGAAAAAGCTCAGATTTTTAATCTACTTACAGGGCAATTCAATGTTTTATTTTAAAAAACAGATTTGTAGTAAAATCAGCTTGAATTAAAAAATGACATTTTAACCAATTTACTTGGACAGTTTTCTAGATTCTCTTTGCTACAGGTTTAGATCAGAATTTCTCTCCTGTAAGCCAAAAATCTTCTTTGTTTACTGAATCTTGCAGTGAGTGAAATCAAAATTTTACATTCGTGTCAGTCTTATCTCTTATAATATCTGGGGAATGAGTGAAAGGTAGTATCAGAAATGAAGCATTGTGTTTTCATAAGAAGAAAGAGGGGGAAATGAAGATATAATTTTAAAAGAAGGTTTTATTTAAATATAGAGCATCTTGTTATTAGAAAACATGAAGTGCCTAATGGAGGGAATTTTTAGAAATACAGACCTTGATTGAGTGATGTGTACATCTTTGTGAAAGTCAAGTTCTGATACTGGTTTGGTCAGTTCTTAGTCAGACACCCATCTGGAGCCAGGCAGGAAGCATGCCTGAATGTGACAGCTTTGGTTGACACTGTTCAAGGCCCGGGTTCAGATTAGGCTCTAAGAATATAGGTTGCAAAAGCTAAGCAATGACATTGAATCTGTTTGTGAGATACTTGCCAAAAGTTCAAGGTTGTTACATAAAAATTAGATTTTTATTAGTTATCAAATAAGAACTTCTTTGTTTTGTTAAAATGCAATTTCTTTGGCCCTTATTTAAGAAAAACAAGGAAGACTTTTAAATGATGAAGGACCAACTTAGCTGGCTCCCTGGAATGACATACTTTACATTATTCATATATATTTCAGCATCATTATTATTTTATAAATGCCATTTGGTAGCAAAAAATACATCAGTACTAGAAATTTACAGTGTCCTAAAATAATAATCATAATTGCTTTAATCTATTATCTAGGCACTAAGATTGTTTTTCAGCATTACAAAAAAATGTTTTAATGACTTAAGATTGACTTGTTAGTATTAAGCTATTTCAACTAAAAACCTGACTGGATGGAAACCACTGAAGTTTAGCAGAGGGCAGACTTCGCTGTAATTTATTTGAATTAATTTTTTTCTTCAGCTTTTTATATCCCTTTCTATATATAGTATAAGCCATCACCAAATAATTTCTTTATAAAAGATTCTCATTATTGGAAAAGACTTGAAAGTATTAGGCTTCTATTTTAAACAACTCAATAATTCAGTCTGTCTCTACCTGCAATGGAATATTTTGCTTATATGAACATTTCTGAGAGATTATGAGCCAAATGCCTTTTTCTTGGTACATAGTCTTTATGATATAGCAGTGCAATCATAAAATGTCTTCAAGAGGAGTAATGAAAGTTTAGAAATAGATGAAAAAAAGTACTTTCTTGTGAAATAAAAATGTGAATAAACTAGAAAAATAAGTAATAATTTTATGGAAGAATAAATAATTATCCCTTATGGTTTTTCTTTCTTATTCGGGGGAAACAAAGATAATCCAGTCACACTGGTAAGGCTGGTCACTAGATATTGTCTGTGACTTCATGGTTCTCAGGTGGAGACCCCAATGGCTAGTTCCTAGATGAGTTCAGCAAGAAAGTGACTGATTACTGACTAGCAGTCAAAGCAAGTTTCATCTTCATATCAATTCCTTTCCAAAATTACCTGTCAGTTAATTTTGAACATGTGTAAAATTAACGCATGATAAAACCTATTAATACTGAATATTAGAGTTGGTGATATGGATGCCTTTGCCAGAAATGAACAGGAAAGGTGAAATTGGCAACATGATTCCTTTTATCATTTGTAACCTAGAAATTTCTTCCCAAGAAAAAATTTGCTTTTCCTTTGCTACAGTCTGTAAGCTATTTTTGTTGTTTTTCTGCCCTATTCTTTCATACTTAAAAAAACTCATTAGTTTGATTTTTAAAACCTCTATTGTAATTTGGTTAGACGCTAGTCTCTTCTTCAAAACACAAGACTTCGGATGACTAATTTGATGATTCAGCAATTGGATGCAAGTTATTTACTTACTGTCTCCTCAGTTAATTTATTTTGAGGTTTATGCTTCAAAATTAAATGGGAGCCACCTAAATATTCACATGTATGGAGCACCTGCTCTGGACCTAGCACTGAGCCAGTTCAGAAAACACCGCCTCTAGGTCTCTGGAGAGGGAGATTTCTCTTGTATGCCTTGCGTCTAGGCATAAAAGACTTTCTCAACTTTGCAAATCTCTCCATAATCCCTTCAGTCTGTTCACAAGTGTTTATTGAGTGACTCCTACATATTCCACACTGTGCCAGGGCTTGGGGGAATATAAGAAATAGTACAAACATTGCCTTTAAGGAGCTTGGAGAGACAAGATTAATAGATTGGAAACAATAGGATAGAACACAGAGGACACTACTTCATGTTAAATCTTGAGGCACTGATCAAAAGGAACGTAGGGGGCCGGGCGCGGTGGCTCACGCCTGTAATCCCAGCACTTTGGGAGGCTGAGGCGGGCAGATCACGGGGTCAGGAGATCGAGACCATCCTGGCTAACACGGTGAAACCCCGTCTCTACTAAAAATACAAAAAAGTAGCCGGGCGTGGTTGTGGGCGCCTGTAGTCGGGAGGCTGAGGCAGGAGAAAGGCGTGAACCCGGGAGGCGGAACTTGCAGTGAGCTTGCGGTGAGACCACATCACTACACTCCAGAGCAAGACTCCGTCTCAAAAAAAAAAAAAAAAAAAAAGGAACGTAGGTGTGGGGGCAGTTGGGGAGTCACTGTTGGCCAGCCTAGTCAGGGTGGGCCAGGAGCACATTCACACACCTGTGCTGTTCTTGCGCACTTACTATGTGCCAGATGCTGCACCAGATACTTTCTATATCTTCACTCATTTAATAGTGTCTAAAACAATACGCCCCAGGTGGTTTTATTCCCCTTTTTACAGATGAAGAAATGAATGCTTAGAAAGGTTAAATACCTAGAATTTAATCAGTCTATGCTCTGTATATATACTCTGCCAAACCAATCAGAGGAATCTTAAAATCCCCTCTTTGCCCTACTTGCCTAAGAAAACATTTACAGTGCTCCCTTCTCTGAACTTCTCTAAGTACCTGGTCTGCGTGCTTCATCGTGCCCACAATAATTGCTGTATTTCCCTCCACCTTTAGCCCAGGGCTTTGCCCCTACAGACCAGTCAGCTATTTTGTGAATGAATGGATGAACAAATGAATGACTTCATTGACTGCTGATTTCCTATTCATACTCCCTGAAATATTCTGCAGCATGGAGTGGATACTCTCATTTCACTATTCCATTTGGATGGGATATTTAATTAGGATTTCTTGTGATGTTACATGTAAGAAGCACATCTTAAGAAGGAGAAAAGTTAAATTAAGGCAGTGTTTCCTTTAAACCCAAAATCACAAAACCTGCTTTTTAAGTAATATACTCCTCTTTGGGAATCAAGCAGGGGAAAGGCTGGTTTCCTGAAATAATCATTGCTATGATTATAATCAGACCATTTATTTGAACAGGACATTCCCTGAATTGGCCCTGTCAAGTCCATACAGAATAAGAAATTGCAATTTCATCAGCTTTGTAAAATTAATAGCTCTGTTTTATAATTTACTGAAGTTAATGGAATAAATTTTTAAAGCAGTATGCAATTCCTGTTGATGTTAATGGGAGTTGTATGGCTAAATCCCTATGTATTATTTGAAAGTACATTTCCAAGGTATCTCACAGCCCTCCTTCTGAAGGAATCATTGCATCTATTTTTTTTTGGTAGTGGTGTTATTTATATTTTCTTTAGAGAAATGCCGAACTGTAAAAAAGCCAGTTAGATTGCTCAGATAGTACAAAACCAATCTAAATTAACCTCAACATGGGTTTTGGATATGCTCTTTATTTTAAACTGCACGACATCAGTCGGATGCCAGAGTTCATAATGTCATTTACCTTCACACCAGTAATTAACATTGTGCCTGTTGTTTTTAGATGCCAATGTGAACGTCATCTACATCTGCTCCCATCATATGAATGATGAGTTAGTGCTGTATTACAAAAAAATCCTAAGTCTACATGCAGCCGTCAAATCGGGGAACCTTGAGGACAGAAGTGACCTGCAGGACAGGATCAAAATTATCACCCCTGAAGCTGTAAACATTTTCCCCGTGAGTTTCTCTTCTAATTACTACGGTTTCAGGGATGCAGTAAAATTAAATTGGAAATTTTATAACTTGCAATGCTCTGGTACACATCAGTGAAATATTATTGCAAGTTTAACAGCTTTCCTGATTAGACTACTAGTTGGTCTGTAGGAAATAAATATTCCAGTTTAACTTTCAGACTCAGTGGAGCTACCCCTGCCCAGTTTCTCTGTAGTCGTAGCCTAATTCCAGTTACTAGGTGGTACCATCAAGTAGGTGGATTTATAACAGGTACCATTCCTTTTTCTTAATTTTGTGTGGAGGACACTAAGGCAGAGAAAGGCTGGGCCTGCCCACAGTCATAAAACTAGTTAGGAGCAGAACTAGACCAGGCCCTCTCTTTTCTGATCCACACAGGTACTCCATGTTTTTTCCCCCTGAGGGGAATTTGGCTTGATTTACCATATCAGATGGTTCCTAATGAAAAATGTTCAGGTTTTTTTTTTTTTTTTTTTTTTAATTGTGCTGATTTTTTAGTGAATGGAATGAATTCTGAGTGGAATCCTATTCCTAGACAAGAGCCTTTGGGAAATTCATGGAATGATAAAGGCAGCGTTCTAGAATAAGGCAGTACAAAAGATGGCTTAAAACGAATTTATCTACATTTTAACAAGAATTTGAACTTCCCATGTTAACCAGATAACAGTTTAATACCTAATGGACTATGCATTTTTGAGGAGACTTTTTTGATGTAATTAAAGATAGCTATCTTCATTTACAATTGAAATGCACCAAAGTCAACTGTCTCTCTATTGCCAAAGTGATTGCATGCTATACATAGGGAACATCTATGTGCTGGGTGGACTACCCATTAACACTTCAGATGTACCATGATTTGACCAAAAAAACGGGGGGGTAGGGGAGGGACCTAAGGAAAGGCTTGCCAGGACTGGGGAGAGTTTCGATAGCATTTCTACTTTGCTGATACTCACTGAATTGTTGTCAGGATTTATTCTTTTCTACCAAAATGAACATTTTATTTTTTCCTAACTGGACGCCTCAGTATTCCTTTAAAAACCCTCTGCTCAGTTTTGTTTCATTGGCACTTTTGGCTGTGAAAGAGGAAGGCAAGGACAGGGGCTGGGGAAGCAAAAGAAAGGACAAGTGGCAAATCACTGCCACTTACGTACATTCTTGGGAACCTTCCAATATCCTCCACCAATGTAAGAATTTCTTTGGTGCTTCCTAGTTATTGCTTGGCCTCACTGACACAGTTACTATGGACATTAGGGTGCAAGGAAGAAAAAGAACTACCATTAGTGTATAGTTAAATTCCTGATTTTCTCCAGCCAGAAAATTGATCTAATGGCTGCTAGCTATTAGTAAGGAGTTTCTGCACGTCTGAAATGCCCATATACATTAAAGAGGCATAGAATGGGGAAGGGTCACTAGATTGGGGAGAAAAAAAAGTGAGAAAACTAACATTTTTCAAATTCTTAGCATATAGTTTCTTTTCTTTCCTTTTTTTTTTTTTTTTTGAGACGGCAGAGTCTCACTCTGTCACCCAGGCTGGAATGCAGTGGTGCAATCTCAGGTGACTGCAACCTCCACCTCCCAGGTTCAAGTAATTCTTCTGCCTCAGCCTCCTGAATAGCCGGGATTACAGGCATGTGCTACCACTCCCAGCTGATTTTTGTATTTTTAGTAGAGACGGGGGTTTCACTATGTTGGCCAGGCTGGTCTCGAACTCCTGATCTCAAGTGATCCGCCTGCCTCGGCCTCCCAAAGTGCTGGGGTTACAGGCGTGAGCCACCATGCCCAGCCCAGTTTCTCATTTGATTCTCAGAATAATGCATCAAGATGGAAAGATAGCTCTTTTTATCCATCTCTCTTTATGGCTGAGGAAACCAATACTCCGTTTCTAATCCAAGGTTACTAGTAAGGCCCGAGTGTGAACCAAAATCTCTCTACCCCAGAGCAGTATCATGAGTTGGAATGACTGCCTTGCTCCTGGATGACCTGGGGCCTTGGGCAAGCCCCCTTACCTCTCTGGTCCTCTGGTCCTCATCTCTAAAATGAGATCCTGGATTAGATCATTTCAGAGTCATCTTCAACTCTATCATCCTATTACCTGAGAACTGTACCCTTGCTAGTCCACTCTTTGGCTTCTAAGCAGGAGACAGGCACTCACAGACGCACATAGTATTGGTTTACATCTTTATGAGTAGAAACAAACAGGCAAGGTTTTAAGTACTTAATAGTTCTCCTCATAGCTCAAGTTTAAATTATTTGAGTAATTACTCATAAGCAATCAACTTTTTAAAAATGCAAAAATTAAATTCTTACTTTCAAATCAGTTATTGTTCATGTTTGGCGATTGCTTTATTTGTTTTTAATGGGTTTGAGAAATTATATCAGTGCTGATTTTCATTTAAATGGATGGCTATGAGATTTTTTAAAGCATGCCAAAAATCTGTTTGTACATCTCTCCAAGTTACTATATGATTCTTGAATCTGTAATGGTAAAATGTGCTCTTTATAAAAGTCATTATGTCTGTTTTTAGACATTTCAGTGTTTATGAAGACATCCTAAACAACTACCTTTTATCTCAGGTCAAAAAAAAATCAGTGGTGATAAATTAAATGTAGCTATAATTCAATGGAACTAGAAACATTTTAGATTTTGTCATCTGTGTCAATCCATTGCCTGGATCTGATGATACTGATGTTTTCCAAATGGTCATACAAGACCTGTGATTAGTGATACATCCTTTGCCATCACTCATTCACATTTAAATCTGTATTAAACACATATGGAACACAATACTGTGGCAGCATCTTGCCTGGAGTCTAGGGCATGCCCGCAGATGACTATAATACTGAGTCGGGTAGAGTACTTGCCAATAGAAACAAGCAAACCTAGAGGAGATGGAACTCCATCCTGGCTGGAAATGTGCTCAGAATGTTAACATTAGGTTCTATTGCTGTGTCTGCCATCCTCCTTCACATCTCAAAAACCCACCAGGTCTTTACTACTCACTCGATAAAATAAGGAACTTGTGGCAGCAGTGGCATGTCAACTGTGTTAGCGGGGTTTGAATCCTGCTTCTGCTGTTTACTAGCTGTGTGACTTTGAGCAAATCACTTGAGGCTTAATTTTCCCATCTCCAAAATAGGGATAGCTAATTGATTCAATGTCATATGGATCAAACGAGAGATCACGTCAAAGGCTTTGATCTTGTGAACTTACCGTGAAAAGATTGCTGCCTTGGAATCCTCTTCTGGGTGCCCTGAAAAGCTCACCACAGACATCGTAACTCAAGTCACCTATTTAGTTCAATTTTTTTACATGTCTTCACTGGAATAATTTACGGGAAAAAGAAAATAGTGAAATAAACAAGGAAGAAAGACAGTGACTAACCAGATGGAAAACACAAACCTGCCAGGTGTTATCACTGGCCATTGTCAAATGGAACATTGGGTTTCCTAGAACTGTATTCTCAGAAGTATGTTTTTTCAATGGATTTAAGGCCAGGTGCAGTGGCTTACACCTGTAATCTCAGCATTTTGGGAGGCCAAGGCAGGTGGATCACTTGAGCTCAGGAGTTTGCAACCTAGCCTTCCATGTCAGGCAACATGACAAAACTCGGTCTCTACAAAAAATACAAAAATTAGCCGGGCATGGTGGCACACGCCTATAGTTCCAGCTGCTTGAGGGGCTAAGATGGGAGGATCGCTTGAGCCTGGGAGGTCAAGGCTGCAGGGAGCCGTGTTTGCACCGCTGCACTCCAGCCTGGGTGACAGAGTAAGACTCTGTCCCTGCTTCTACAAAAAAAAAAAAAGAAGAAAAAAGAAAAAAAAAAAAAAAAGGATTTAAAACTAGAGTAGAAAAGGCATATTGCGTAGATCTAAGGAACTTGGAATAGAACACCTAATCTGGAGGAAGGGCCCAATAGGGGAAATCATGTAAATCCTCGTCTCAGAGGAGCTCTGTTTTTTGCCTTTTAAAATTGTGGTAAATTATATATAACACAAAATTTACCATTTCAAACATTTTTAAATGTACAGTTTGGTGGCATTAAGTACATTCACATTGTTGTACAACCATTGCCACTATCGATTTCAGAACTTTTTATCATCCCAAGAAGAAACTCTGTACCCATTAAGCAGTAAGTCCAAAAGAGCTCTTGTTTTAAAGGGAAAGTTCTTTCAGAGCTGGAAGGACCCTAGAGACTTCTCATCCAACCCCTCATTTGAATATGAGAAACAGACTCAGAAAGGTTGAGTTTTCTAAATCACCTAGCAAGTCACAAATTCAAACTGAAATGCAGGTGTTCTCCCCAGTCCAGTTCTCTTTCTCCCATACTCAGGAATTATACTCTCTGACAATCTGCAAACTGGTGCATCTGATATTCCTTGAAACAATCACTACAATCTGCAAACTGGTGCATCTGATATTCCTTGAAACAATCACTTAGCATTTCTCCATGTTTTTATGCTGCAGTAAGTAGACAATTTTTCACTAGAATTGGGGTAGTAGATGCTAGTCTATAAAATCCCTTCAACTCCCTTGAGACTCTGGCACTTTTACATTATATTAATTTTGTAACATTTTAATGACTTTATTTTTTATTTTTTTGAGACAGGGTCTTACTGTGTCACACAGGCCGGAGTGCAGTGGCATGATCTTGGTTCACTGCAGCCTTGATCTCCCTGGCTCAAGCGATTCTCCTGCCTCAGCCTTTGAGTAGCTGGGACCACAGGTGTGTACCACCACATACCTGGCTAATATTTTTGTAGATAGGGGGTTTTGCCACATTGCCCAGGCTGGTCTCAAAGTCCTGGGCTCAAGTGATCTGCCCGCCATGGCCTCCCAAAGTACTGGGATTACAGGTGTGAGCCACGGCACCTAACCTGACTTTATTTTTAAGAGGGTTTTCTCTATAATAATAATTATTACCATTTGCTGAGCATCAATGCTGTGTATTATACTAGGAATTTTACATTTGTGATCTTATTTTAAA